AAAAAAAAAAAAAAAAAAAAAAAAAAAAAGTTCCCTGCCTTTTTATATCTTGGAATTTGGCTCTGCCCCCACTGTGTATGAGTAGGTGAGTGCGGTAGCCAGAGTGAAGTGGTGAACGTCCTTTATTGGGTACTATTATTAATGAATCCAACTTCTTCTTTTGTAAGCTCGACATACTTGGGTTTTTGATTTCAGACTCCATAGACGCAGGGAGATGTGCCACTGAATGAGCCTATTTTCTTTTCATTACTAATCTTACTTCCTTTCTGCTGACCTTCAACCTCCTAATTTTGTTCATGTTTTTCTTCTCACATAACCCATCTTTTTTTTATTTAAACCTCTCACACCTGAACTGTATCTTCCTTGTTATATGTTCTGTTAATCTGAATGATCTGAGGAAGTTTGATGTTAATGTATATTTTTTAAAAAATTATAGAAAATTGGTAATCTTATAGTTTCTATTCTCATAGCAATAATTTCATTACTTCTTTTTAAATAAATATTCATGCTTACGCTGAATTTGTGTAGACAGTTGTTCTGATGTCTTTATGAAAGCCTTTTGGGAGTGGGAATGCTGTTACTTCAAAATATATACAAAAAAACTACTGAATTGCAAAATGCCAAGGAGCTTTTTCAACCAAATAAATGCTTACGATCCTAAATGCTCTATGTTGCATGAATCTACATATATGCTTTAACATTGAATCTGTGTTCCACTGTTCATAGCTATGGCTTTGCTTTGTTTGAAGATACGTTTAAAAGTTCGCTTGCGTTACAGAAGAATGCAAATGCATACAGTTGAAGGGAAAAATTGGCTTCAAACATAGGCATCGTTGACTAACCGTTGTCCAAGTACAGATCTAAAATAGACTGTCATAGAATTATTCAATATATGAAAAGAGGCCGTGAACAACTTTTGAAGTACAACTCTACGACCACTATAAGTACAGCTGCAATTATGTCAAAACGTGCAAAATAAGATTGGATTTTGGCATAGGATGTACATCATGCTGTAATAACACGTTCCGCTCTGGCATTATTGGTTCTTGAAAGACTGCAAAAGATCATATAGGTGTGAGGAGACGTCCAAGCTGTTCAAGTTTTTTTTTATGATCTGATTTGTCAGATGATTCTTACCTCAAAATTTTTGGAGAGATCTTTCATCTGTTCTGCAAGTTCTTGCTTCTTCTGGGCAGCTGCAAGACAATTCCCAAGTCAAAAGTTAAACCAGCTCAACTATAAATACCGCAAGTAAAAATTGTAATCAATGAAACAAAAAGCAGTTAAGTTTCTACCCTTGGTAGATATATCCTCAATTTGCTTTGATGTTCTCACGGCAAACCTTTGAAATGAACGGCTGCAAAAAATGGAAAAATGGGAGTAAAATAAATTTTCAACAACGAACAGTAAGCATCCTGCAGACAAATATCATATGAACGGTAAATACAGACAAATGTGACTTTTCAGTTGTCACTGAGCATGAACGTCTTCAATTCAATGGCAGAAATGCTGGGGAAAGAATACCTGAACAGACCCATGCTTGTTTGATAAGAGATTCTGTTTCTTGTTTCCAAATGAAAAAAAAAAAAAAATTCCAAAAATAGACCAAAATTGGAGAAACTACAAAAAGAGCTACTCTTTTGATTCTCTTTCTTATTCTGTTTTCACACAGCCCTAACCGATACTCTCTCTAATGCTGATTCTCTCAGGCAGATAGTTCTCGGCTCATCAAGATTCTCTCTCTGTCACCATATCGAGAATGGTTTATCAAGAAGGCTCGAGAGCTCACTCTTCTGTGGAATGTTTGTGGTGGAGGTTGTGGGTTCACCACGGCCATTTCTGGTGATTTTTCTTTAATCCTTTTTTTCTTCCGTGGAAGTGAAGTAATATCAAAATGGAATAAGAATATTTTTTATTTTAATTCGGATCATAACAATAGATGGAAAATATTTTACTTCCCTTGAAAAATCTTGGGGTACCTACAAGCCATAGTTCTCCACAACACTAGGATTATGATTATGTCGAAGGGCACATTGAAATGAGAAATGGGTTGCAAACAGCCACCAAATTTTCCTACCATAGTTTTATATATGGTTTTGATCTGTTGCACAGCATACACTTTCCAGGAAAAAGAGAGTTGTTGGGAATTTTCTTGTGAAGTATCGTTAATGGTTCTGCCACTAGATATGGTCCACATGAAAAAAAAAAAAAAAGCTTGCTATGGGACTTCAAGACTCCACAATTTTGTACCCACAAACTTTAAAATCGATTCCATTGGTGGTTGAGTTGAGGAATACTATTCTGATAGCCTAGGAAAATTAGAGAGCAACGCACTACCATTAAGCCACTGATCTTCCCAATATCAGGTTGAGTGAAGGGAGAGCCTTTGCTGTTTTATGGGATCACGTTGTGTTAGTGGTTCAATCTAGGTGTAAGCTTTCTAAAGCTTTTTTTGTTTGTAGTTTCGAGCTTTCTTCTTAATCTTCGATGAATCTTTCCTGCCCTGCTGCTTTAGTATAATTCATGCTTCCACTAAAATAACTTTTTATAATTTTTTTGTTTTAAAAAGACACCTAATGTCTTTGTTAGTATATTTTTATTTCATTTAATATTAGCAGCGCTTCAACAAACATATATAACTAGACATCAATTCTGTAGAAGAAAGATAAATGAATCTATAGCAAAATTTTCTCAGATCTCCACATCTGCACATCCAACCATTTGGGCAGCAGATAAACATAAAAGAAAATCTGAGGATATCTTGCTTCAATGGAACGAGCCAAATAGGAACTAATTGGTCCCTCCGGCCAGAGAATGAAGCTTCTTATTGTATGCATAATAACCATACTAACGGGTTTCGTTCTGAATCTAGGTTTCCATCTGTATGAACTAATTAATCCCTATGGACGCTCATAATTAGTCCCTATGGATGGCTAAAATCCTCATATGAACTATTTTTTAGGGTTCTATCAAATGATAGGACTAAATTGTAACCTTCTCAAAACCCAGAGACCAAGTTTGTAATTTAACACTCAATTACCTGTTCGCAAGACTGTTGACGAGAACCTCATTCACGAGGTAAGAAACTACTCTGTGCATGAAATTTCCACCCGCCATGCTCGTTTCCACGGATCGAAATAAAACAATAATGATTCAGATGCCTGTTTGATGCGTGTTCCTGAAGTGATAGAAGAGGATTACAGAAGCTAATTTAATCTTCCTCCCAGGAACTAAAAAACTCGGCGATGACAATACTCGAAAAAAGTAAAGCAGATAAGAACATAAGCAAAACACTTCAATCAATCGAAAATAATGCAGAGACGAACGGATTTGAAGCCAAAGAAATCCGATCGGAAGAGATGAACTTAGGAAATCGTTACCTGAATAATATCGTCGCGATGACAATAGTTTGATGCCCTAGTTTTCTTCGAACGCAGCCCCAGGATCTGTATGTGGCGGCTGAACTCCACGTAGTCTCAATTTATAATGTTCTTAATCGTAGAAGAACTAGAGGCCTCTCTGAATAATAAAAGTTTTTTCTCTTTAATTTTTAAATTAAATTACAAATTTGTTCAATATATTGAAAAAGTTATTAGTTTTTATAATTTTAAATATTAAACTTAATCATTTAATTTGGTAAAATTACACTATGTATGAGGGTAAAAATGGAAGAAAATATGCTCCGGACATTTTTCATTAAAAAGAATTATTGGGCCACTTTCCTCCAATTTCTCCCAAAAAATGTTGGCCCAATGGTCTAATTTGGGCCGTCCAAAGCAAAAAAAAACTAAAGTTGGGCCTATAAATGGGCTGGCCCAAAACGTTCTAACATTCCGATAACGCGAAATATCTCCGACAGGGTCAGCGTTACAATTCAGTTTCCTTCGAGTTTGGCGCGGCGGCTTCACCTCCGTTTCTTCTCAATGGCTGCAATCAATCTTCCTTTTATCCATTCTCCTCCATCTCTTCAGATCTTTTCAATAAAATCTCCTCAAAGCACTTCTAAATTCTTGCTGTTCTCTCAATCTATTGCTTCTCCTCTCCTTTCCAGTTCGTCCAAGCTCTACACCACAGCCAAAGCTCGCGCTTCTTCGTTAATCGCTTTTGCTGCCAAGAATCTCTCGGAATCTGAGCTTAACTCCGTGCCGGAGACTGCCGGGGAAATTGCTGGAAAATTTCCTTCGGATGCCGGTGTTTATGCCGTTTACGACAAGGACGGCGACGTTCAGTTCATCGGCATTACAAGGAGCATAGCAGGGAGCGTCGCCACTCACTGGAAATCGGTACCAGAGCTTTGCGTCTCTATCAAGGTAGGAGGAGGCTAATTGTATTTCTCCACTTTGTTCTTGTTGTTTCCGTCTTTAATTTTTTCCATTTCCTGCCGTAATTGATTGTTGGGAAGGTTTGTTGAGGTTATGTCCTAGTGCGATGCGTAATGAATTGAAAATGGTGCGGTGTTCTCTGTGGATTAAAGATCTCCTCCATTAGAAGTAATATGGAAAAGGCTACTTTTGGTCTAAGAAAATTTTGTGTGTATATGCTTTTATCATCGTTACCAATGAACTGATATCTCAATCTTTTGCCAATCAAGCTTTTGGGAACTTAATCTAGTCTAGGATCCTCAGTTTTCATCTGGCTTGTAATTATAAATTTGCATCCTAATCAAGTGGTCTTCTTCGGTTTCTGTTGCTGGCAATTGTTCATTACTGCCCACCTCATAAGTTCATGGTTGAACTGGTGTAGAAGATAGCTGGATCGAGGGGAATCCATGTAAATCGTAGTTTAAGAATGGGAAATCGACGATTACTTGCTTCTATTTAAAATCTTTTAGTTCTCTGCTTGCACGTGTATTTCAATATTTTGTGCCTGGCAGGTGAAAGCAAGTCCCAGGCAGCTTCCTGTTGACTGTACTTCATGAACTTTTCTTGAAGAAGACGATGATTTTATCAGCTTTCTGAATTAGGACTTTGCGTTTATTCTTCTTTTTTTGTTTGTTTCATGAGAAATAGAACTTTCTGAGATCCATGTAAGAGTATAAGAACACAGCCTAAGAAATAGGAGCCACCACAACCAACTATATGGAAATGAGCTATAATCCAAAAGAATGAGACCTAACAGAAACAACATTAAACCTAGCATGGGACCAAAGGTCCAAATCTCATCGCTAGATCTCTCCCAACCCCTATGTGTTACAAGACTCTTCGGCAGTTGCACGTTTGGTAACGCTATTTTTTTGTTGGGCAATTGGTTATATCTCCAAGGATGTATAGAATTCAGATACTTGAAAGTTATCTTCCCTACTCTTCACAAGCTAATGCACTCCGTTGTCATTTGAATTCAACTTCTGGCACGATAGAAATACGACGAACCTAAATTACGGGTAGAAGAAGTAGGTATGGTTTTATGAAGTACTCTAGACTTGAGAGGCATGCTGTGTTACTTTATCTATTGTTTTGACGAGGAGTTGTGCTATAATTCAAGTTTTCTGTGCAGATATAGGACTCAATGATCTTACTTATCCTTTCTTTTTCTTGAATGTGTTACTCTCTGTAGTTCGGAGTAGTAGATGAGCCTGATAGAACAACCTTAACACAAGCATGGAAGTCATGGATGGAAGAACACATAAAAGCCACTGGGAAGGTACCACCAGGTAATGAATCTGGCAATGCCACATGGGTAAGGCAGCCACCGAAGAAGAAGGCCGATCTGAGGTTGACGCCTGGTCGACATGTTCAACTTACGGTCCCATTGGAAGAACTCATTGATCAATTGGTGAAGGAGAACAAGGTTGTTGCATTCATCAAGGGTTCAAGAAGTGCTCCGTTATGCGGTTTTTCGCAAAGGGTAATAGGCATTCTTGAAGCTGAAGGCGTAGATTATGAGAGCGTCGATGTGCTCGATGAAGAATACAACAATGGGCTGAGGGAATCTCTCAAAACATACAGCAACTGGCCTACATTTCCTCAAATCTTTGTGGATGGCCAATTAATTGGAGGTTGTGACATTCTTAGCTCTATGCATGAAAAAGGTGAACTTGCTGGTTTGTTCAAGAATTGATTATCAGATTTTAAGTTTTAGCAGCTAATACTTTGCTGGAGTGAAAGGTCTAATTGAAAGGAGATGAGAATGTGCTTGCTTTCATGCTTTGGCCTGTTGCTCTATAGAAGTGTAGTTTCTGTTTCATCAAGTTGAACAAAATTCTTGGTTTTTTTTTTTTTTTTACCCTTCAAAATACTTTAGGGAGACATGAGGTCAGCTCTCCACTACTACCGGACCTTGTGGCTTAAGCGAGTTACCATAAGACATGTAACGACCCAGTTCCATCACTAGTCGATATTGTCCTCTTTGGACTTTCCTTTTCGGGCTTCCCCTCACGGCTTTAAAATGCATCTGCTAAGGGAAGGTTTCCACACCCTTATAAATGGTGGTTTGTTCTCCTCCCCAACCAATGTGGGACATCACAATCCACCCCTCTTCGGGGCCCAGCATCCTCGCTTGCACTCTTTCCTTCCTCCAATCGATGTGGGATCGCCTCCAAATCCACCCCTCTTTGGGGCTAGCGTCTTTACTGGCACACTGCCTCGTGTCTACCCCCCTTCAGGGAACAACGAGAAGGCTAACACATCGTCTGGTGTTTGGCTCTGAAACCATTTGTAACGACCTAAATCCACCGCTAGCAGATATTGTCCTCTTTGAGCTTTCCCCTTCGAGCTTCCCCTTAAGGCTTTAAAACGCGTTGGGGGAAGGTTTCCACACCCTTATAAATGGTGGTTTGTTCTCCTCTTCAACCAATGTGGGACATCACAAGACATGTCACAGTGAGGGCGAACATTCCGATTTCAGACGATTTCCTTTAAAATGGATGTTTAAAGATAGTATCGGACAACACGAGTGTGCCAATATTGCGCCCCAGTCCACAATAGAACCCGAATAGATAGATGTTCGGGATGTTTCAATATTATGAACAACACATGAGCCCATTTTAGTATATGACTGAATGAACTCTGATGACTGATGACACTCTAAAAAATTGATGGATATATTATTTACATTATTAACCTAAAATTAAATCTGTATCGGATACATTATTAATTAATTTAAAAAGTTTGGTCATATTTGATAATAATTCAATCTTTTTTAAATTTTTAAAGGAAGCATATAAATACTAGTTGACCTATGGAAAATAATAATTTATTTTTCCTCATTTATCAATCTTGCTGTTTTCATCTGGTCCGTTGAAATCTTCTAAAGGAAAAAAATGAAGGTCGTTGAACAAAATTAACTAACAAATCGACAAATTAATTTATTAGGCTTTATGATCACACTATGACCGTACAGCCCTGCGCGGGTTTTCGTTGGCTCATCTTTTTTTTGGGGCGAATATGATGCAAGTATAAAAAGTCAAATTACTTTTATACCCCACATCATTAATTACCATAGAAATTAACTTTTCACCTTTACTTATCAAATTTAATGCATAATGGTAAAACTAAATCTTGATCTTCATAAATAAATCGATTTAAATTATTTATTTTTGGAAAAATTTAATAAGAAAATATTAGTTAATAACTCTTCCTATAAAAAATTTCCTATTTTAAAACATGTAGATAATATAATAAACAATAAATACTTTAAAAATAGGTTAAATACTTTAAAAATAGGTAAAGTAATTTATTTGAAATTAAAAATTATATAATCAATAATAATAATTAAAAAAAAATGAAGGTCGGCCAACTTTTGGCAGGTTTAATTTGATGCCATTTAGTAAAAATTCATGAATTTCTCTCCATTTTTAACTGAAACTCATCCAATTTTGATCAATTACAATAGAATTTATTTCAAAATTTATATAAATATCGTTCAAATATACACATAATTAAAAATAATTTCTAAGGAATTGTTTTATAAATTGTATAAATATCTATCAAATATTTAAAGAAACAATTGAAAATTGAGTTGAAGAATTTTAAAAATTCAGCTAAATCGAAGAAAAAAAATATAGATATAACCGAGATATTTACCGGAAGAGCGAGTGAGGGAAGGAGAAGAAAGGGATAAAATGGTATTTTCACAAATTCGGTAGAAGTGGCAAAAACTTGTAGGGGCTAGTTTTGTCAATTTTCCCTTCGAAGCAGATATGAGTCGAACCTTCTAAAATGGTTAATCCATTTTCATTCCACCGGATGAATCGAATACAATTTCCTCATGATTTTTCTATAGCTCTTTTTTTCTTCGTTTCTTTCTGCTTCGTTTGATCACGAACATGGAATGCGGATCTTCCTCTTGTGAGAGATTCAAGCTCTACGACCAGTTGGAATTACACGAATTTCAGGACAGGTTCGTTGTAAGGTCTGTGGAATTTCCCAATCGAGGCTTCTCGATCAACCGCGGTGATGGCGATATCGAGCCGCTTAATTGTAAGGATTCTTTTCTTCTTTTTTTTTTCTTCTCAACCGATAGAGATTGCTAAAGTAGTTTTGTTGATGAGAAAATAAGGTTTAAGGAAAATGAAGAATC